CTAACCCTAAGAATCTAACTCTAAAAGACATAACATGTTAGAACCTTTGGTTGCTAAACCATTAACATTGTGTACCACATAGTTCCCAAATCAGTATACATTCTTTAAAATTGTTCAATTATAAGAAAATTTAATTTATCTACCTCATACTAACCTTTAAATTGATGATTTATTAAAAAAATTACCAAAAACATTTTTTTTACATTTTTAAATTAAATTATTTGATTAAATTAAGATGTAGACTAAATAATAAGTCTACATTACTTTACACAGTAGACGTTAATGTAAGTCTACCTAGTTGTAGACTTCTTTCTTAAAGTGTAGACCTACGAAGGACAAAATCGTAAAATATACTGCACGTTTTTTGTTTGTTCATAAGGGTTAAATAGTAGTTTTAACACCCCTTTAGGTTGGGTTTGCAATTGATTGAATAAGGGGTGCACCTTTAGGGTTAAAATGAATATTTGGGTTGGTTTTGGCAATTCCCCCCTTATTCATTAGTATAACACCACACCACCTTATAAAGTGTATAGTTTGTGTTAGCACAAGATGTATAAAACACATTACAGAACTTTTATATTATTTTTGTTTATCATATATCCATACGTACGAGTTTGTTTCCTTAACTTTCTAGCTACAGCGTTTAAAAAAATAACTTTTATCTTCTAAACCATAAAATTATGCTCGGAAATTATATTGATCTGAGAATTTCACTACACATTGAAGAAATATTTAGAATTGCCAAAATCTTGCTTGAAAATTACGAAACAAAACGATTCAAAATGACTGGTATATAAACGATAAGGAAAACATATGAAACTTTGATCCTGAAAACGTTTTATTAATGAATAAGTGGTGTTATCTCTCGGAGAAATTAGTCAGCTTCTCATTTCTGAAACACGCTTTGGCCTCTGCCTTTTTCTACCACATCAGTTGTTTCCACTGAGACTTCCTTTGCTGGAGAACTAAGTCTCTACAAAAACCATATCATGACTGACACTAAACTACTGACCAACGTTGGCAACGTATAATATTAATCTAATAAAACCCATCACATATATGCAAAAACCCAAACAGACCAAACCAAGGAAGACTACTGAATCAAGAAACAAATCAAAAATGAACCTGGATTTTCCTTCTATTGAAGAACGTTTAGGCACAGGGAGTCTCTGTTTAAGAACGTTTAGGCACGTTGAGTATATGTTTTTGTTTTGTGACTATCTTTTTCCATTGTCACAGCACATTAAAAGGGCGGCTTTGCATGAATTTAATGCGAAAAGTGCTGAAGTTATATGTGAGGTGAGAGTTATCAACATCATATGAAACTCTGATGTGAATGGACAAGATTCTAACTTTTTATTCATGTTGTTCCCATTGCAGCTCAGGTATGACCTTCCCAAGCTCTACAAGTTCCATAAGCGAAAAGAGGTTGATATTGCGGTTGATCTCTGGCGTTTTGAGCCTAGACAGAACTAGACCGCCCCACGATCATGTAATGTTTAGCTTTTGATTCAAAACTGGTTTATATGTGGGATTTTATGATATGAAGTATGAACTCACAAACAAATATGGGGTTCTTGAATCTCACAAACAAAGAGAACGTCTTCTTAAAGCTTTTGTATCAGTTGAGCTTGATATAATTCTAAGCAGTTAGATTTAGTGATCCCAGATGATCCAACCCTTTGGGTATAACAACATCAGTGGCTTGAGTATCATGAGATCATTAGATAAAGCTTAGACAAAAGGTTATCCCAAAGATAAATGTAATTTTCAAGAACATGACTATATGTCAAAAATTAATTTAAGCATGGACTGAATATAGTTCATATACGTAAGTTAATTAACAGCTTCATGTCAAACTGCATTTTATATACTATGTTCTAGAAGCCAAAGAATATTCAATAACAATCTTTGGATTTGAACAAACTAATAAAAAAATCGAATAACTCAAAAACTAAATTAAAAACGTAAATGTCCCTTTTGATAGAACATATTCCAGAAAGTCAAAAAATTCTGAATTATAAAATTAAAACTTCTAAGCTCTACATTATTTAGTAGATGCATTAGTTTAACATTAATTAATAAAAACAAAATAACTACTATAATATTGGTTTAGTGGCAGGGAACAGCATGGATGCCAAGATTATTAATTAATACAAAATCAGCCAATGTATCAAATCTGTACTATCTAAAAGATTGTTTAAGACTTAAAAGTAATAATAATCATCCAGAAAGAAGAGAAGAGAAAGTTGGAAAGGTATTAGACTAATTAGTTTATAAATTCCTGATTTAATTATTAATATTTGTATGGTTAATGGCTAATGGTGGAAGAGGAAGCTTCATAGAACAGATATGAGATACTCCTTGATTTATTCGCTTAAAAGCTTATAAAAGATCCAGGCATCAACGATTCTCATGATTTAAATATACTTTCTCCACGTGGGACGAACAATATAACTGGTAGATGGATTTCACATTAGTGAAATGTACATTTTTTTGTTTGAATCAATCAACAACATCGACCAATCAATACATGATAAATGTGTATATCATCTTTGTTATGCTGAATATTAGCACTGTAAAACCGTATAAAACGGAGCTCCTTCACATGTATCGAATGTATATATTAATATATATACGATTATTATCAGGTATCATGAACGATATCTTATATCTATACGCATGGTTAGTTACTTTTTTGGGTCTTGTTCTTTTTTTTTTGTCACTTTAAAACACTTATATCAACCACAAAGTTTACAACAACAAAAATAGAAAGCCGGAAAAAACGAAAGCAAAGGCCGAATGTAATAAGAGGAACCAAAACCCTAAAGATTAAGAGAGACGTGAGCAAAAGCTGTGTTTCCTTTCTTGGCTGTTATTTGTACACACAAAGCTATTTCTTTTTAACTTCTCAATAAAAAAGATTTAAGAGAAGTGAAAGCTGGCAAGATACATTCCTCCGGAACCAAACTAGAAAAAACGCCAAATGGATCGTCCTTGAAGTTGTTCCAAAAGTTTATACATTACACACATCTGTATAATCTAACAACTTGATGTATAAAACGAAGCTCCCACATGTATATATAATTGAGTTATTCGACGAAAGAAACTTTTTTTTTTTTTGACAGAGCAATAAAGCCATCAAGGCATCAACAAATAGATGCGTATGAATAATGGATTTAAGGTTAAAAAATCATAAAACAATACATTAGAATTCATAGACTTATACAAATGATTCCAATAATCTAGGCATAACATTAGAAAATAATTCGGCATAACCTTAAAAATAAGCCAACATGTCGATCGGTATGCCCATATCCAATGATAGATTACGCAAGACAACTAGCTAGGGATGTCGTTTTAGCTACACAATTTATTTTGTGTTAATACTTTAGGAGAGAGAGAATGAGAGGACCAAGCTCAATTTGCATTTTTCTAACTTTTTATAGGCATAGTTATTAAGAGATTGTAGAAAGTACGACGTCAATATATTTTCTGATTGTTAGACTCTCATATATATTTAAACTATATATTTTACTTGAACTAATAATATGAATAATAAACTCGTAAAATAAGTACATGAATACTATGTTGTACTCATGGCAATTTCTATGTAAAAAAATGTTTAGAGACCTAAAATTTTTTTTTGGAGATTTATAATACTCCCTCTGTTTCAATATAAGTGTCACTCTACAGCTATACACACGGATTAAGGAAACAATCAATTTTACATATTTCCTATATAAAAACACAATTACCCACACACCTAACCATATTTTAACCAATAGAAAAACAAATTGCATAATAAAATTAATAAACTTTGCATTGAAAACCGAAAACGACACTTATTTTGTAACACACAAAATTCTCTACAACGACACTTAATATAAAACGGAAGGAATAATTGTTTTCAAAATATTTGGGATCTGAGGTAAATATTGCATTAGGCATGCTTCAGGGCCAGTTCTGATTGTACTATATAATTCGATTTAACCGATAATTTTGTGGATATTGTTGTATAAAGTTGCGGTCTATATGAAAGATAACAATCTAATATTCTTACTGAAAACATGATTTATATACCAGTGTGCACCAATAACCAATCTTGACGTAGATATTGCTTGCTTACAAGTGTCTAGTCAACTTTGCGAACATTTAAAATTTAAGTGGTTCGAGTTTAAACGAAATAAGTGTAATCGCTAAACAATATAGCCAAATCATATAATTAAAATATGTGTGATCGGAAGTGAGTTTGGTAGGCAACTAGATAGAGATGATGACCTTGGAAACTGCGATATCAGCTTCCTGAATCCTGAACCCTTTGCATGTGGCGAGATGCTCTTCTTTTGTCAAACACCTCGCTTTTTGTTTTCTTTATTGTTTCCTAAGCTACACTAGTATATAGTTAAAAACTGAAACCTTTTTCACCTCCACAAGTTAAATAAGTACGCTTTGTATTATAAAAACATAAGTATAAGACCTTTAAATGTGAACACTTGACTCTTATAATATGTATATGATGCTTGATCTAGAGCAATAATTCAACAAATTTTGAACTTATCGAAATATTTCTCCACACGATATGAGATTGGATGCTTCATTTCATTATGTTCGGTGCAAATGCAATTAAAACCATATATGAGGTACTGTATTATTATTTGACAAAAATAAACCGCTCTTATTATTATTCAAACTGTTTAAGTAATGTTAAATTCCATTAAACGAATTTTAAGTTCAGTGCAGCCTTTTTTAATAATGCATGTAAACTTTATAATTCATCAACATGTAAACTCCCCACTCCAACGTAGATAAATTCTAAGAATATGCACGTCCGCATTACATTTTGCAAAAGCATAGCTAAAACAAGGATAAACAAAATGCATGTATATAAATATTCGGATATTTTAATTCTGTACTAGATTTTGACCCGCGCTTAAGAAGCGCGGGTTTTTTTTTTTGTTTTGATGGTGTTTCTAAATTTGATTGAGTTGATGGTAAAAAGGGTTCGAGATACCTTGCATTTATAAAATGAGAGGGTTGTTGTTCTATTATTTTATTTCAGTCTTGTAAAATTAATAAAATGAATATGGTAAAAAGATCTTAAAATCAAAAG